GGGCTCTAGCTCTTGATTTTAAAAAAAGAGAAAAAAAAAAACTAGCCTAAGAGATGGTGGGGAAAAGACGCATGCTTCATGATTTATTTTTGAGGGGGTTTTTCCTACTTTTTAACGTTCACCCTAGGAAAAACGACTCTGTGTACTGTAATACCTGCTTACAGATATTTTTTACGTGCAAAACTAACAAAAGCTGCAATTAAAATAAAATATACCCCTTTTTGCTGTGCTTTTTGCAAGTTTTGTTTTTTTTCTTATCTTTAATTATTTTCTTTACATTTGATATCAGTGATTACAAATTCTCCAACTTTACTCGGTTAAAAAGTTTTAAAAATGTGTGCGGAAACGGGCACTAAAATGAGTTTTTTTCCATTTCCTCCTGTCATGCAAATGTTTGGGAATGCTGGAATTCCGATGGTAGACGTTTCAGCCTGGTGCCAAGAGTCTAGCAGTGAGCTCTTATGTCCGTATATATGAAAGTTTTCCCCATTGATAAGTCATGAGTGGAGATGATCCATAAAAAATCCAGTGGATGACGTCATTCCATGGTGAAATTATCGCTCACTTAACTTCCCTCATGAGTAGGTACTCGCTGATGCATTTTATTGACTCCGGGGAATATCAAAGAAAGGCAATACCTAATAATGTAACATTTCGAGAGAATCTGTAACCAAATTAGGCCTGTGAATTCAATTGCCCAACAACGGCGTGTTTATTGCGTACAATTAAGAGTTCATAAAAGTTTATTTCTCATTTAGGTTGGGGGAAATCTTGGGAGAAAATCACTCCGAGGAATGAATCTAGACATTAAAAATTTAACAGTCGTCATTCAGCGAGGTTTCGTATTATCATTCCAGCTTTCATGCTTTCATACACATGGCATTTACCAATGCATTGATGAGCCTCGTGATATCCTTAGTGACATAATTTCATGAGATGGATTCAGTGGGAGGCTTTAATGATTAATTACCGATATTTCTCCATTTGAAGGGTTGGTAAAGAATCGATTAATAAGGTGTTTGTTGCGAACACCCTATTTATCGATCCTACTCCATAGGTATAAATATTCGGTCAATCCATACATATATCGCAAAGCACGCCGCGCCACCGGATGAATCCAAGAGTCGGTTTTGTCATATACATGTTATTAAATTGTATGGATATGGGGGTGAGTATAACTGTTTTGTAGTTGATGGTTTTTATTTTAAAGATACGTGTTACTTGATACAGAAAATTCGGTTGAACTGTTCTGTTCAATAGAAATGGCTGCGGACATGGTGAAAAACATCAAATTCTTTTCAGTCCCGTAAAAAAATGTTAGCTTAAAAAGCTGGTCACGATACCCAAAGAGAAAACAAAAGCAGTAATTTGAATTGCGGACCCCCTACTTTTACGAGTTGTCTTCCGGAGATAACAGAGATCAATTTTCCAGATTTTACTGGTGAGATTGTTGGGTAATACAAGACACTTTTTTCTTTAACACATACCAAACTGTTCGACCTGAAATATTATTTTTTCATGACACCAAGTGTCATATTTCAAGTTGAAAAAACAAAGTTCCAAGTCGATCTTTTCGGTGTGTTTGAGAAAAAGGTGTCATGTATTACCCATCAATCTCTTCGGGATAATCAAGAAAAGTGGTTTCTAAAATCTCCGACGGGCAAACTTTTCCTTGTTTACGAGATATTTTCGATAAAAAATGAACCCCGTGTTATTTCCCAATGCCTGTGAAGTTAGCACCACGACTTTTAAAATTTAAAATTTTCTCTTTTGCTCATCATTGCTCACCATTTGCTCACCTCGAAAATCGCTTTCATTTTTTTGCTCAGGCATGCCCCCCCCCCCCCCCAAATGATGAGCCAATCATAGACGAATCGTTAAGGGGATGCCACTCGTTCTGAAATTCAAATTGCGGCTACTGTTTTCGCTTTAGGATGAAGGAAGTGTCCTGCTGAATGTGTTTCTCGCTTCTCTCACTGTCACTCCGAAGTTGCGACTAGCGAGTGGCAAGTATCTTGGACTGCCACCAACGCGATCCAAATTAGATCCTGGCCCGGCGCATGAATTTTAACGACGCTGCAAATTTTCCTCAAGCTCGCAGTTCTTGACTCGGCAATGGATATTACAAAAGTGGAAGTGTCAAATTAACAACTCCAGCGTGGAAATCTCCTATTGTGATCGCACAGATGGGTCGAGAGAATTGTTCAACCATTTAAACCTATGGAAAAGGATCGATAAACATGATGTTCGTAACGCACACATTAATCGATTCTTTACCATAGTTTCACATGAGGGAATATCGATAATCGATCATTCATGCCGCGCCGCTGGCCAGTATCAGTGCCATCAATTCATGATGCTGCAGCTGCCCCGTTCATAAGTCGAGCGCATTCACCGCCATATCTACAGCCTCCGTGAATCCGTGACCTACAATAATCAACTAACCAGTCGGAGTCGGTCGCAAGTCAGAAAAATTCATCGCCTCGGCTTAAATAATCGTTTTGTTAGCCCTCATTTTGTTAGGGGCGAGGGGCCTATCTCCCCATCCAAAATGGGGTTGATAAATGGTCATACCCTGGATTCTGGGTCGAGCGGAGTTGCCTTGCTGCAAACTTTATTCTGCTAGTTATTTTGGAGTATCCTGCATCAGACTGAGTCTGGCTAAAACCAGATAAAACTCATCAAGACAGTAAACACTGGGAAAAAAAAAACACATTGGATCTAGAGTCCAGACTCTTGAAAACATTGACAAGAAAAAATACTCTTGATTCAATCAAATTTAAGCTTAAATCACAAGGAAATCCGCTCAAATTAAGAGGCTTGGTACTTGATTTAAGCTTAAATCTGATTGACTCAAGAGTATTTTTTCTTGTCAATGTTTTCAAGATTCTGGACACTAGATCCAATGTGTTGTTTTTTCCAGTGAATCGCTGCTAGACATATACGGTCTGTATAGATAATGCCCGTTTACGAAGGGAGGGGTAGAGGGGAGAGAGGTAAAAAATATTTAAAGCGTGACGTATTTATGAACGAACCTCTAAGGCTCAATATAACGGATAAAAGTCGACGAATTTTGCCATGTACAAGATATTTTTTCTCGACTTTTAATTTTTGAAAGGAGAATATTTACGAGTAGCGGAGCTCAAAGCTACTCCAAACTCACTTAAAAAAAAAAAAAAAAAAAAAAAAAAAAAAAAAAAAAAAAAAAAAAAAAAAAAAAAAANAAAAAAAAAAAAAAAAAAAAAAAAAAAAACCTGGCGCGTTTCTATTAAACACTGTCCAATTATGCGAGCTGATTATTAGAATATTAGACAGAGCGATAGAAAAAAGAGTCGAAGGGAGAACGTAGCGATTCTACTGGCGGAAACGAGTGGTTGCGATGGACGAGGGAGGAGGTAAGGAGTCCACTAACTAACGGCAGCCCACGAGGGACCCGATAATTAGTCCATCCCGTTTCAACCAGTCAGATCGCTCCATTTTCCCTTGCTCTTATTTGTCTATAGCTTTGTCTACCGGTCCCAATAATATGCTCACTGTTTAACACAGTGCGGTCGGCGTCAAACTCATATCAGCGCCTGCAAGACTGCGGGAATACCTCATGCATTGCGCCAAACAGTGCGGTCGGCGCCAAGCGTATGTTAGCGCCTACAAAACTGCATGAATACTTCTCGCACTGCACCAAACGCAATGAGAATCCTCAACGTGAAGTCACGACGGAAACGGTGGACGCAGCAAAACGGGACAACCGTATGTTAGCGCCTACAAGACTGCATGAATACTTCTCGCACTGCACAAAACGCAATGAGAATCCCTGACGTGAAGTCACGGCGGAAACGGTGGACGTAGCAAATCGGGGCAAGCGTATGTTAGCGCCTACAAGACTGCATGAATACTTCTCGCACTGCACCAAACGCAATGAGAATCCCTGACGTGAAGTCACGACGGAAACGGTGGACGCAGCAAAACGGGGCAACCGTGTCCGATTACGCGGGACAATTAAGAGCATCATTTTTATGGGAGAGGCGTGTTTGCCGCCGACCGGGGAGGGGGGGTGGACAGGGGTGGGGTAGGCCCTGAGACCGAGGAGAGAGGCAAAGACCACTGTTAGCCGTTGATTGCCATCGTTTATCCGGGATTTCGAGGGTGGAGTTGCGAGGCGCGGGGCGTTGTTGCGCCGAGTCAATAAGCCAAGCTACCGTTGAATGTTCATCTCGTTACAGCCGCGCTAGGGAGCTCCAGATTCGGAGGGGGGGGGTGCTTAGGGGAGCCCTTCAAATTCCTCCTATCACCGCTCACGCACATAAAAAGCAACAAAAACCGGAGTCCCAGGAGGAATTTTTATCCATCGTCTTCACCTCGGCTTCGCTCCTCGTCCTGTAACTGGGGAGCGCGTAACTCTGGTAGAAATAGAAAACTTGTGCAGCCCCTGTGTATGTTCAAGAGCTCTTTCAAAAACTTGAAAAAAACTGATGAAACTGAAATTTTTCACCAAAAATTTCGGGGCTCCCGGCATTGATTCCGATCTCCCTAAGTTCCAAGAAATATTCCGATTATTCAAAAAGTTCCGGTGGAATATTCCGAGATATACCCGAATTTAGTACCAAAGATTGACAATTTTACTGTGTTCGTAAAACCATTAAATTTGATCAAATAACCGGTCAAACTGACGAAAAACTCCGAAATTCCGAAAAATTCCATAAGTGGCCGAAAATTCCGAGCATAGTTTCGATAATTTGTAAAGTTGTGAAAGTCGGAAGCAATTCCGGGAGAAAATGTAAAGGGGCTGTTTATAACATAAGTCCCGCTTTGGCGGGAGGGGGAGTCGANGGGGGGGGGGGGGGGGGGGGGGGGGGGGGGGGTTACGCCATTTTGTTTTTACGCGCTAAAAGATATGAACGCAAAAGCGCCACGAGGGTAGAACGGGGTGGAAAAATCTCAAATTCAGCGTTACGTATTTCATGACGGAGTGAGAGCTTGAAGTATTAGTAATGGTGACTTACCATCAGGGAAGACTTGTCGCATTTTGAGGTAGCTTGTGGTGAGCCGAATGACGGAAGCTTTGTCTAGTTGTGTTGTTGTCGTCGAGGGTAATGGTAAAAGCTTGGCCAGTTCTAAAAACTCCGTGTTTTCCTTCTCTCTTCGGCTCCTCGCAGCATTTTTACTTTTTTCTTTCATATCTGCACCTGAAGAAAAACCAACGACAGAAATAGTTAGAGCCTTTTTGTCCATAAAACTCCATGATTTCTCTTACGAGGGCTCTCGTAAGAGATGAGATACCTCTCACGTTGGGAAAGCGATGCAATCAGTGGCGAGGCGTCAATGGCCAATCATCGATATTTCCCCATTTAAAACTAAAGTAAAGAATAATTTTGTAAGTGGTTGTTGCGAACACCCAGTTTATTGATCCTTTTCCATTGGTTTAAACGGCAGATCAATCCATACATCGCAAAGCATGCCACGCCACTGCGCGAATGAATAGGTAATCCGACGTCCAACGTGCTGTATAGCGTTATTTAAATCCGAGAGTTTTCCCCCCAAAAAATATCTTAAGAATTCACAAATGAGAGGCTTGGAGGAAATGGTACATAAGTGGATTTTTTGAAAAACCTGAGATAGAAAATTGATTTCCAGTAAAACTAGTCTTAATGCATACTCTGTGAAAAAATCGCTGCCGAATTTGAACTTTTAAGCATCAAAAAGTCAGTTGGAACTTTCTTCCGCCATAAGGTTCCATGTAATTTCGAAACTTCAAACGCGTGTTCCTGGAAAGAGTAAAAACTGCATCATGCGCCTTGTACTACATCTACAAGCCCCTCAAAATATTGTACAATTTCTCGATGGATTATCGACGATGTTGAAGATCCATCTTAACTTTAGACTCTGTCCGGCGGTCCATTCTTGCTCGTCAGTGGCGAGACGTGAATGATCGATTATCGATATTTCCCCATTTGAAACTACGGTAAAGAATCGATTAATAAGGTGTTCGTTGCAAACACTCTGTTAACTGATCCTTTTCCATAGGTTTAAATGTTAGATCAATCGATTTATCGCAAAGCACACCACGCCACTGTTGCTCGTATGACGTAAGTCTGAAAGAGTCTATAAAAAGCCATGAGGTAAGTCCTCGTACGGATCCGCTCCGGTGACTGAAAACAAAGTGGAGACTTGACCTTGAATTTACAGACAAAACATTTCAGAGAGTGGTCTCTCGGTTTGGTTTCAGAGAGAGAGAAACATCGCGGTCCAGATCGATGCGTAAGGAGAAAAACGAAAAGGGAAAATCCGAGATCTCGGAGGCTATCGACCTTGCGGTCAGCTGTGAAATCACCCGAGTCAGCAACGTCAGTGAAGTCGAGGCTGGATTATTTTGATGACAGATGACGCCCGGCACTCGAGAAACAATAATAAAATCGGTCATAGAACCCGAGCGCTGAGCGCAAGAGAGACCGGAGACTCCGTTTCTGCTGCGCGAAAATGGACTACTGGGTGAGAATCAAGGAATAAGAGATATATTTCCTTTTCAAATGAGCATATTTATGCTAAAAAAAACTAGGTGCATATGAATTACTTGCAACATGGTTCCTTTTAGCGTAAACACGTCCAAATTTTGACGTATAGTCGTCCTTTAAACCCAAATAGCATTTTTAAACGAAAAACATTGCGCTATTTTGAAATTAAGTAGCGATTTTCCCACGATTTTTTGGCAATAAAATCGCCAGTATCATCGACATCTGAGCGATTATCCTCGATATAGTTGCAATTTTATCTCTATACAATCGCGTTCGATGATATCGAAATTTACCTACCTCAATTTATCGCGATTTTTTGTTCGATAATATTGCGATTAATCGCCGTCGATGAAAAATCGCGAATTTATCGCAAATTTGTGTTTCCATTCGTAAGATAATTGCGATTTTTCCGCCAAAAAGTCGTGAAAAAATTGCGATTTAATTTAAAATTATCGCGATTTTCCGTTGCAAAATACTGCTAGGGTAGTCAGACAGTAGGACGACGTTGAAGCCTTGCGAACTGTGAGACTCACCGTCGCGTCGCCCGCGGGAATTCAGTCTGGGCCTCTCATAAATAGACGCATCTCTGTCAAACGGAACTATGTGCATTATGACGTGAGCCCTGTTATGCACATATTCTTGTGGGTCTCAGGGCTCATGTCTTAGTACACATAGTTCCGTTTGACAGAAATACGTCCGAATAGAACGATGAAAAGTTGCGGAAACACTAGAGGCCTGCGTTTCCTCAAAAGATCCCACGGATTTTCTTTCGTGCTCACGGCGCGGACTGACCCGCGAGAATCCCGGAATCCCGTTCGGCGAAAACGCGGGTGGAGTGCGCCATAATCGCGTTACCGCGCCCGCCACCTGTCCGCGTGTCCGGGCAGCGTGGGAACCCGCGGAGACAATGAGCAAAGGCACGGGACGAAAGGTACACGCCGAGTCACACCTCCTTTCATTCATATTTTCATCGCTGCTCAGCGGAATGCGAAAACAAAAAAGGCGTAAGTCGCTTCGTCAATGACCTCACACCGCATTTACACCTGCCACGCAAAACGGCGGCGGGGGCGGGGGGTTGCTTTTCCGAGTGCGTACGCGACGATCCTAGTCACACGAGGATTACGCCCCGTTACCTGGAGACCTGGGGTATCGATGCCGAATTGTCCGGGAAAAGCCGGTATTTCATTAGGTGCGGTTAACGTTAGGGTGCTTCTGATAGACAAGGCGCATAAGAGCAGTTTTTGAAAAAATTGAGGTATTAATGATTTTAAATAAAACTAGTCTTAATGCAAACTCTGTGAAACATTCGCTCCCAAATTCCAATTTTTAAGCATCAAAAAGTCAGTTTGAACTTTCTTCCCGCCATAGGGATACACGTGCTTTCGAAACTTCAAACACCGATTTCTCGAACTAGCAAAAAATGCACTTATGCGCCTTGTCCTCCACACTGGAAAAAAACACATTGGATCTAGATTCCAGACTCTTAAAAACATCGACAAGAAAAAATACTCTTGATTCAATCAGATTTAAGCTTAAATCAAGAACCGAGCCTCTTAATTTGAGCGGATTTCTCTTTGATTTAAGCTTAAATTTGATTGAATCAAGAGTCCTTTTTCTTATCAGTGTTTTCAAGAGTCTGGACTCTAGATCCAATGTGTGTTTTTTATTTCTAGTGCAAGCCATTCATGTATGCATGGCCCCTGATAAGTCTACCTCGTCATTGCAACTGCAATATTGTCAGCGGGGGAGGTTTGGATTTCCTCGAGGGCCCGGCAACACCGGAGCGACACACGTGAGGAATCATCGCGGGCCGTAATTACCGCGACGAGCACACGTACACGATGCAACAATGCGTAGGTGAGGATTTTCCCCTGGCTGCCCGGTGAGCCCGGAATTCCTTTCTCGCGTTTTTCACACTCGCCGGCTTTGTTGCCGCCCGGACCTGTTGCGTCCTGATGGATTGCCCGAAAAGCCAACACCTACCGCGGCAACCCTCGTCCGGATTCCGACCTTGCCGAAAACGTCAGCCAAGTCACGTCCGAGCTTGCGCCACCCGCCGCCAACAACCGCCTAACTCCAGGGCCCGACTCCGTTCGGATACGCGGTTCTTCGCGGGGACGAGACTCCGGGACTCCGGCTATCGATAAGCAATTGACTACGAGGAAGAGTAGTATGTCAGTTCTCCATTCATATCTTTGCCATGGACGCACGGACGGATGGATGCACCTGTGTCTCTTCGTGTGAGTGTGAGGAATTTATCGCCTCCGTGCTGAGCACGTAGCCGCCTCCTCTCACCTGCAGGACTGCGATTCCCCGGCACTTGGATCTAGTTTTAAGCCTTGTATAGAGGGTCAAATTCCCGAACCAATTCCGATCAAAGTAGCATCAAAGTGTCGGGAGTCATCAGTCTTAAACTCATTAATTTGCTTAATTTTGAAATGGAAACTTGGCAGAAATGTTTCCTGTGGCAGGAAATGATGAATGGTGGCACTCCATTCTGATCTTACTTTGAACAAATAAGTGCGGCCCGTCAAAATTTGATGGTAGATGGTGACCATCAGTCATCAGCATGTCTACTTTGATCGGAATTGGTTCGGAATTTGATCGTCTATCCAGGGCTTAAGGTAGATCTTCACCACTCAGGAGAACAGTGCGATCGTTTGCCAATGGGTCAGTTGCGCTGGTCATAGAATCATGTTTTGATGATTCATTCTTGTAGATCGTCTAAAAATGATAAGGGTGATTTCACGATAACAGGAATAGTTAAAATGTGAAATACCTTAGAAATAAAAGTGCACCAATTTTAACAGGATTTCATTACCTCATTTTAAAGGTATTAAACTTCCTTTTCCCAGCTTTGGCACGCTCTATTTTGATTCAGTGCAAAGTTAAAGTGATTGATAAACAAGCCATTGAATCAGGTATCAGCGCTTCCCGCGGGACTGCTGGAGGTCCACGCAAACATGGCGGCCCTGCCAAATTGTGTCGGTTACGTAACAGACACAGCGTAACCGACACTCAAAAATGTGAGATTAAAGATGATACAACAGATGAAACTTGGCAATTCTTGAGTTATGAGGTGGAATTAATGCTGCCTTAAAAGTTTTCTAAACTTTGGAGACTTCCTTTTAGTTTAATACTATTAAATTGAGGTTTTTGCGTAGTGAGGAATTAGTGCTACACACGTAAAAATCACTGGTTTTCATAATAATTAAAGTTTTCATTGTAAAAAAAACTGACTTATTAGTAATAGTTTTGTCAGGAAGACTTCAGCAAACAATTTGATGGCACTTTTGAAACTCCTGACTCCATCTGGCGAGATAAACACTGCACTTTATACAACTGCAAAAATTTGTTGCCAAATGTGGCGACGCCTCTTTCTTACGACTTTTCTCGCTCAATAATAAACATTTCAGTTCAAACTGGCAATTTTCTTGAACACTAGAGTCTCTTTTCAGCAAATATTGCCACAGAGTTCATGATCAGTACTGATTTGTTACCGCAAATTGCTCTTTTGCTTCAAAATCGGGGTTGGCGACGCGTAACCGACCGGACATTTTCGGCCTTTTAAGTCTCATATTATTAAATATAATAATAATTCATCATATTTTTTAGCATCGATAGGTTCAGGGACATCATTCCTATTGATTAATTAATTTGGTTTTCAATCGTTT